GGCCCAAAACTGAACACAGGATTTGAACTGTGGCCTCGCCAGTGCCAAGTATATCCCTTCACTAGTCCTGCTGGCCACACTATTTCTGCTACAAGCCAGGATATCACCTGGGCACACTACTAGGTCATGTTCAGCTGCTGTTGATCAGCACCCCCACGTCCTGTTCCCCCCAGAAGCTTTCCAGTCACTCTTCCCAAAGAGGAAGGACAGGACCTAACACGTGGCCTTCTTGAACCCCACTGGCCTTGGCCCATGTGTACAGGCTGTTGGCATCCCTCTGCAGAGCCTTCCTGCACTTCAGCAAATCAACACTCACATCCAACTTGGCGTCACCCTCAAACTGACTGAGGGGGCACTTGATCCCCCCATCCAAATCACTGATAGGATATCAATATAATATAAATATGTGATATAAATACACAGAATACAAATAATGGTAATATGTCAATTTAGATGCGGTATAATGGAGCTAAGCAGTTGCTCTCTGAGATAAGCGCTCGAGGCCAGTCCGTACCGCGGCGAAGCTACAGATCCCGGCACGCGAGGCGGGGACACTGGCGAGCCCCATGTGTGGGCACAGGAGCCGCCCGGCCCTGAGGGAGCGCAGGCATTGCCTGTGGAACACAGTGGGGCAGGACCACAACTCCCCCTGCTCCCTTCCCAACCGGGCTGAAGAGGCAGGCGAAATACCCTGTAAGCAGCTGGGAGGAGTCTCACAATCTCTGGGCCCTGTTCTCATGGGGACTTCATATTGCCAGATTTCTGCTGGAAATACAGCAGATGAGGAAAAGGCTGAGGTACTGAATGCCTTTTTTGCCTTTAATAGCAAGACTGGTTGTCCTCAGGGTACCCAGCCCCCTGAGCTGGAAGACAGGTATGGGAAGTAGATATATCAATATCTTTGTCAGTGACGTAGACAGTGAAATCACGTGCAACCTCATCAAGTTTGCAGATGGAGCTGAGTGGTGCACTTGACACCACAAAAGACAGGATACCACCCAAAGGGATCTGGACAAACCTGAGAAGTGGGCCAATAAGAGCCTTGCGTATGTAGTTCAGCAAGTCCAATTGCAAGGTGCTGCACATGAGCCAAGGCAATCTCAGACATGAGTACAGACTGGGGAATGAACTCATTAGAGCAACTCTGAAGAGGACTTGGGGGTTCTTATGGATGAAAAGTTGAACATGAACCACAGTGTGCACCAGCAGCCCAGAAAGCCAACCACATCCTAGGCTGCATCGGAAGAAAGGGGGCCAGCAGGTTGAGAGAGGTGATTCTGCCCTTCTACACTGCTCTCGTGAGACCCCAGCTGGAGTGCTGCATCCATCTCTGGTGTCTCCAGCATTGGAAGGACATGGTCCTGTTGGGTCAAATTCCAGAGGAAGGCCACAGAGATGATCAGAGGGCTGAAGCACCTCTCCTGTGCCACAGGGCTAAGAGAATTGGGATTGTTCAGTCTGAAGAAGAGTAGGCTTTGTGGTGACCTAATTGCAGCCTGAATGGAGTCTACAAGAAAACTGGAGAGGGACATACTAGGGTATGTAGTGGTAGGACAAGGAAGCATGGCTTCAAACTGAAAGAGGGTAGACTTAGATTAGATATTAGGAAGAAATTCTTTATTGTGAGGGTGGTGAGGCACTGAAAGAGGTTGCCCAGACAAGTTGTGGATGCTCCATCCTTAGAACTGTTCAAGGCCAGACTGGATGAGGCTATGAGCAACTCAGTCTAGTGGACCCCCTATGGCAGGGGGGTTGGAACTATAGGATCACAGAATCACTTAGGTGGGAAAAGACCTCTAAGATCGTCAAGTCCAACCACTGACTAATCACACTGGCAAACAGACCAAGTGCCAACCAAGTGTTTACCACAAAGTGCTACATCCAGTTGTTCCTTGAACAGCTCCAGGGATGGTGACTCCACCACCTCCCCGAGCAGTCAATTCCACTGCTTAACAACCCTTTCTGGGAAGAAATTCTTCCTGATGTCCAGTCTGAATCTTCCTGGTGCAACTTAGGACTGTGTCCTCTTGTCCTGTCACTAGTTGCCTGGTAGAAGAGGATGACCCTCACCTGGCTACAACCTCCTTTTAGGTGATTGTAGACAGTGATAAGCCCCTGGGCTTCCTTTTCTCCAGGCTAAACACCCCCAGCTCCTTCAGCTCTCCTCATAGGACTCAGAAGGTGCCTTCCAACCCAAACCATTCTATGATTCTGTAAGGGTGAAGACAGGCAAGTTATAGCTGTGGTGAAAACCATAATGGAGAAAAATTATTTTCTTTTAGCATGGACAGTGTCAAGCTAGCAGGGGAGAAAGCTATCTTGTGCAGTGATAAGACAAACCTATGACTTGAACTACTTTGTTCCACATGGACTTCTTAAAACCAGTGTGTTTGGAATGAATGGAGAAAAGAAACTGGTATCTAGAATAGATGAAATGGTTTAACATGGGGTGGTTATGAGAGGTCAAAAGCATGCTATTTTGCAGGAATGTTCCTTCTCAGTGCTCCGTTTGCCAGCATATACATAGGCTGAACTTAGACTTTCCATTTGCCTTGGTGCCTGAGATAAAAGGTGGATAGCAAATATGCATGGAATTCCTCTATCGCATTATAAAATATATATGAAAAATACAATGAAAAATCTGCATTAGAGAAGTAATTTACAGCATTTTAAAGATATAAAATCATGCATTTGTTTAGACTTAGTATTTTGTAATGAATACATATATAGCTAGATGATCTTTTAAGCTCATATCTTTTTTGCATGGCATCAAAGACATAACCTTTCTAGAATAATGATCTACTATGTCTACTTGGAAATACAGCTGTGCTTTGCCAACTTTTTTCTTCCTTTCATTCTAGGTTAGAGTGATTGGTGTGTGCTTCACCCACAGGAAGAGAAATAAACAACAATCTGCAGCTTTGTATCACTCAGTTACTTCTTGCAGTTATTACTTTTAATGAATTGTTTGTTTCTGAATGAAGCAATAAGGGTAAATGTGTCCTGGTTTGCTTAGTACAGTAATCAAGAAACTGGATGACTGGGGAAGAACAATTAATTGTTCTTTTAAAAAAACCAACCAAACATACAAAAAACTCAAACACAAAACCCTGAAACCAAACCCTGGTGGACTAACTCAAGTGTAACTTTTGTGAGGAGGCATGGACAACTGATCTGTTAATACAGACAAGAGAATAAAACACTTGGACCTAGTGACACCCAGGATGGCATCTCCAGCTCTTCACTGAGAAGACAAAACGTTTTTGCAAGAACTTGTGTGTCTGGGAAATACAATGAGTATGAAGAAGTTTACCATTTAAATCAGTAAAAGAATTAAAGTCATATAATGATGACAGTTTTGAAAAAATACTTGTGTATAACTTATGGAAATAGCTGTAACATTATGTAATAATTTTCTTGAAGTACCTACATTCTGTATTGATTTCATGATAACTTTGATATGTTGGTATTTTTTCAAAAGTGATACATGAAGATGGCCGTATTGCATCTAAAACTATGATGCACTTACACCATTTTTCCAAAGTAACTCCCACTAAGTGAAAAGATTCAGTTCCATGTTACACATTTTGCATCCCACTCTGATTGTTGTTACTCTTTTTAGCTAATACTGTCATAGGTGATAGGAGATACATTTTCCCTCACGCTGGCAGTAACATCTAGTCCAAGGTTGCTTAAGCAACATCAGGGCATCCAAGGAGTTTGCTTATGAGAATAACCATGCTCAGCCTAATTTGTGACATTTTAAAGCCTTCCAAATACCTATGTGCTGAACATAAAGGAAGCCCTAAAATAGTATCATCAATCTGCTCAGTGACTATCAAACTGGGAATCAAGCCAACCATATAGCAATGGGTGCAACAACAGGAAAAAACTACTGTAGGAATGAGGCCTACAGCCATGAGATATGCCATAGGATATCTGGTGAAGGGATTTCCAAGAGGTATGCTGCACCCAGCCCCTCTGATCTCTGAGGACTGGCTGGAAAGCAGGAGTGTTTATTTTCTTAGATCAAGAAATACAGAGTCTCAGACTGAAAAACCATTTTTTCTGACCCCTTCATCCAGATAATATCACTTACAGACCATTGCTTTTACCTTTTCATATATATTTACAGGAGGCAGGGAAGGCAGCAAAACTAGCAGTTTAAAACTAGCTTGCATCAAAATACAATCAAGGCCAGGAGCCAGATTTCCCAAGGTACTGTGTTGGTTCTAACCTCCTCTATTATATGGCTAGGGAAAGCAAATGGCTGAATTTTAGAGTATTTTTTGTCTTCTCTATTAATTCTCTTCCCATTTAATGTCATAATTCAGACCAGAACTCAACTGGTGTTAATGTTAACTATTGTTCAGTTACTCATATAGGAAGAAAAAGAATATTGCATCCAACTATCTAACTTATTCCCCTGTATTTTTATCTGCATGGCACTTACAAAGTGAAATCAAGGCCTCATTTAATTAGCAGTGTGCATGTTTTTAAACCCACAAAGGTATGTTAATACATATACACATCTTTATACACACATACACACATTTTAATGATATGACATCTGTCCTTTGAGTCTAAATGGTCAAGAGAAATAAAGGTGAGGAGACAGAAAGTATTTTCCCTGAAAGAAAGCTTAACTGAATCTTGGAAGTATAAATCATGGTAAGGAGACAGGATGGCAGTAGTATTCAGCAGGTCCCTGACTCATCATTGCAAGTGTTTCTTGATTGCAACATGTTCTACAACTGGTAAAATATTAAGAAAATAAGTATTTCTGAAACTCTTTATTTCAAATTCTAATACTTCATTTAGAATTTTTGAGGGAAAGGGAATAGATAGTCTGACATATATATAACAATCTAATATCCAGCTGAAATAAAAAGGAAAGTTGCAAAAAAAAAAAAAAAAAAAAAAGACTATGAAGTCATAAAGCAGAAAATGAAAGTGTTCTCAAAAGCATACAGAAGGGGGAAAACCTTAAAAACCAAAAAATGATGAACGAAAACTTCTCCTACAGAATAATTAAATTTCAAGATTTTGAAGAAACAGGAGCCCACGAATGCCTTCAAAGCATCCCAGCCTGTCTCAGAATTTATAGACAGGAAAGGAAGAACACTAGAGCTTGCTTTATCATGAATGCTTTTGGATGGATACAACTTGGTCTTACTCTGTTGTGCACCACCGTCATCTGCAGTCATCAGTGCAACCATCTTCAATTACAGCAAAGAAAAGCGATTGAAAACAGCCTGCAACTTTTGGACAAAATGGGCAAAAACTTTCCTCAACAATGTCTAAGAGAGAAAATATCCTTCAGATTTCCTAAGCGGGTTCTAGAGTCCAGACAGAAAGAGACTGTCAGAGTTGCCATTGAAGAGATCTTCCAACATATATTCTATATCTTTAGCAGAAATTTGACTCTAGCTGCTTGGGATGGGACAGCTTTGGATCAGTTCCAAAATGGACTTTATCAGCAAATTGAGCAATTGGAGGCATGTGTAATCAAAAAGCACACCCACTACTGTTGGAATAAAGAAGTCAGCAGGCTGAAATTGAAAAAATACTTCAAAAAAATAGACTGTTTTCTTAAAGACAAACAACACAACCTGTGCTCCTGGGAGATCAGCCGTGCAGAAATCAGGAGATGTCTCCAACTGATTGATAAAGTGACAAGGGAGCTTAACAACTAAGGTACAAAGATTTTAACCTCACATAAATTATACATTTATAAAGAAATAGTATATATCATATTTATTATTGATTCTATGATCTATCTTGTGGCATTGCTTCTAGTTCATTCTGACTGTATTTAAATAATTATGTTCCTGAAATTTATTTTTGCAAATGTAATGCATTATTCAATGTAAATAATTTTTCTACTCTAGCTATAAATTAGTCTATATGACTTTTCACTTAGATTACCCATCCATTGTAAGATATTGTAACCTTATAATAGATAGTGAAATCTTATGATGTTTTCTACTGAGAAAAAGTGTTGCTACTTTCCATCTCTATTTCACCCACACATTTTCAAATCATGTGTTTGTGAATTGACTGCACATCCCTCACCTTACAGGAACTGCTAGATTGTACTGATTGAGACTACACCAAAAATAAAGTATTATATTGATTATTTAAGTGGTCCTGACTTAGGCTGAGAATATGCACTTTTCTTTCAAAGTTTATATCCTCTTTTCCAAGAATGTGGTTTGTTGTTTTTTTTTTTTTTTGCATTTGAGTAATTCTAACATTTGCTATGTTTGAAGATGTAAAGAAGGATTTGTTTACATAGGATATTTTTTGCAGTAGTTATGGCTTCTGCAGTAACTTTTCAATTTGACAGTGTTACTTATAATTGAAACGCATTTGCCTTGTCTAACTATTTGGGGCAAGGCTTTTATTCCTTCCTGCAATGTTTCCAATTCACTTAAACTTCTTTGAAAAGGTATTTGAAATAACTTTTCTACATAAAAGTACCCAAAAGCCACAACTGCTAGTGGCACCTCCTACTTGCTCATGGACATAGTCATCCTGCCTACTGCAATCTCAAACATCACCATCCAGTGCTCTGTTTTATTGCTGCATGAAAGTCTGTCTCTTCCTGTTTGCTCACAAATTGAACCACAGAAACATATAGACCTTGGTATTTCAATTAATTTCCCCTCCAAAACACACAGCCTTCAGTAATAATTATCAAATTGTTTAGAATAGCTTGCAACAAACTGGGCTTGGATTTTACCCTTGGGAAATTGTCCCTGGGTAACTCCATTTCAAATGGTGTGTTTTCCCCACTCACTTGTTATATGTTAGTAACAGGGGAAACAGAGCTATATCCAGGATCTTTTACCCAGGGAATATTGTTAAAAATTTGGTGAAAGACCCAACGACTTAAAAAAAAAAAAAAAAAAAGGCTGTTGCCTGTGGCCACTCCAATGTACATTTGGCACAACTTTCTGGGTCTGGCATAAAGAAGCAGAGGACAGAGCACATCTGCACCCAGGAGATGGTGATATTAGTTCTGGAGGGCTGAAGTTGCTGCAGGTTAGTTTAAGCATCATATAAGGAACCACTTTAAAGCTTTTCCTGATCTCCAGCCATTTGGAAAAGTATAATTCAAAGGGGTGATAATAAAAAGGTACATCTAAAAAAAAAGGACTGATGTGAACAATGGCAATTTGCAGGGTGTACATGCTCTCCTCACTACCACTCATCAATGCAAGCTAAAGAAGCACCAGGAGACATGGGTATCAGGTATGAAGCTCAAATACCAGAAATGAACCAGCTAGCAACTTCACCACTATCCAGAACAACATAAAAGACCAAAGAAACAGAGTGAAATACTGGAGTAACTTTTCCATCTGGTGACATCCTACCACAAACATTACAGCAAAATGTGTATTTCTCGGGGTTTGTAACTAACAGAACTTGAAATGGCTGCCACCATGGGACTATTTCAAATCTTATTTCTGTTGCTTGTTTGCTTTTTGTACTTCTTCAAACCTGTACAATAAAAGGACATTTAGTCTACTTACCCTTCTGGTTCTGACATCCTTGCGTGGCTTCTGCAATGCAAGCTGTTATTGAAATGGCCTCATTTTTACAGAAACTTGGAAGAAGCATGAAATATTTTTCAGCTGCTGCCTCATGAAGGATTCCAGCTTTTATTGCCGAACTTGTCTGCAGTGAGAATATGTTAATTCATGGCCCACTAATTGTTTAGAAACTCGTGCCATTATGCTTTCTTTTTTAGTGTCCTTAAAAATCTCATTGCCAAATAAAACCCTGATTTGACATATTTCAGTCGTCATGGTATTTTGCAGTGCAGAAAAAAAACCAGAATGGGCACTAGAGGGCAAAGTGAAATTACAGACAAATATAAGAGTTGTAGGTTAATGTACGCGTGTTTTGGCAAGACAGTGTTTCGGTTCTTTAAGAGCATGCTGCTTATCAGTAAAGTGCTATTGGGTTCATAGAACAGAATTGAAAGAAAAATGAACTGTTCCTAAAAGAAACAAGAAGATCTCAGAGATGGTGATGAGAGCTCAGAAAACAGCATTTGATTTCAATTACTTTTTTGCCAGCTGTGAGGTAACAGAAATTATTTGTACTGAGACTATGCCTAGAAGACATATTTAAAGCTGGGGACTTTGCAACAAATGTAGTTACTCCACAAATGAAAGGAAAAAGAAAATAGCAAGCCAATATGTCTTTGTTTTATTCTTACCTTTTAAAGAAAGGTAAGCATTCTTAAGGGAAAAGGAAGAAAGCTGGAGAGTTCAGGAGGTCCTCTCTCTTCACCTTGCCATTTTAACATTTTGGAGTAATCTGTATTTCACAACCACTGTGTGATCAGGTCAGCTGTATATTGTGTCCCTGGTTAACTGGAACTCTCTGGTGTTTCTTCCAGTTAGTATTTTTCTAGAAGTTAAACAAATGAGGTAAAATGTGGTTTTTAAACATACATTATTTTCAAAAGGAAATTAATAAAATAGTGAATGCAAAGTCTCAAATCGCCGTAAGAAATTTAGCATAGATGAAAAAAAAAATCCTTCCAAGATTAGGCTGCATATGGGCCAGAAAGTTTCATAAACTTTTCCATAAAACTCACGCACCAGTGCTGCGCAGCACAGGTCCCAGTCACAGTTCTGGCAGTTCTCATGGTTTGTCCACAGCACCCTCCTTATCTGTGCTGTGCTGTGTTGTACTTTTGGGGACACTGTATCAAAAGTGGTAAGATTTCATCCATACAGAGTCCGTTTTCTGGAGTGGATTTATGGAATCGGGGTTGAAAGCCTTGTCTTCCACATGAAAACTTCAGAATAGTTACAGTAGAGCTGAAGAATGTTTATTTAAGACTTTATTTTGGAAAAAATTATTCACAAGGCACAGTCAAACAGCTTCATCCATGAGTTTGTCTTGTTCCACCAGTTCTGGCTTAATTAAGAAAAAAACCACACCAAAACCAAACAAACAGAAATAAAAGCCTGTGGGAATAACTCTACAAATAATCACACAGAGTTAGCCCCATTTCCAGGAAGGACAGCTGTGAACTCCTTCAGAGCAGGCCTAGGGAAGTTTTAGGGGTGGCTGTGGTAGAGCAGCCAGACAAGCACCAGGGCTGGGGGGTTTGGGCTGGAGAGGGGATCAGGAACTGCCTATGGGAAGACAGTCCTCACATACTGCTGCATCCTGCCAGTCCTCACACCTTTCAATCCAGTCTGTTCCCTGGTTCAGGGAAGATCAAGAAATGAGGGTGACAAAGATAGAGAATAAATCCTAAATGAAGGTTTTAGTTTTGACTGGCAGAATGAATTTACTTTGCTTAAAAATTTAACACAAAGGCAAAAAGGTAAACAAAGCAGATAAGATTAAAATTAATACTTTCCAATCAGGTGACTTGCTTTTTAATATCCAAAAATCTTCCTACTAATCCTCATATAGGCAGGGATGAGTCATTTGTATCAACATTTCCCACACTTCTGCTGATGCCATGAAATCCTTAGTAAAGTGCAAGAGATTTTTCAGTGCTAAGAATTCCTAGAGGAGCGAACTCTGACGGAGAACACAAGGAAAATCTTTCTTCTCAGCATTGCAGCCATGTCAGTGCCACAGCCCAGCCTGCAAACTGGAAGGCAGTTGCAGTGCTACTGTGGGGCCACCCTTCTGCAGCCACAGACTGCCAACCCCACCTTGCTTCCAAACACCATTCAGGCTCTTCATTGCTTGTGTCCTGGATGAATTCCTTTTCTCTCTACACACCTTTAAAATTGAAATTCCCAGCTCATGTGAACTGGTAACCCTCCAGTTTAATTTCAGTGGCACTGAGGAGGAATCAATGGTAAGTGATGAGCAGATGAGTAGAGGGAAATCCATGTCCTTCCTCAGTTTTCTACACAAAAGGCTGAAAGGTTTCATTTTCTAAAACCGACCTTGCTGAGCCTGAGCCATTACAATTAGGATCCTAAAACCACGTTACCTTCAGCAATAAGTAATTATGTTCTAAGCAAATAATATAATCTGCTTTTGAGTGTGGGAATGTAAATACAGTTAACACTCCCTTCTAAAAAATAACTGTTAAAGCATGGCAATGCGTTTGCAAAGTCAAAATACACATTAAGGAGATTAAACACTGAGATTTCAAATAGCATATCTGCCCCCTGCACACGAGTTACGACCACATCTATTCACTGTAACTCTTACTGTTGAGAGTATTCCTCAAGTTTCTTATCTTGGTAGGACAGAACCTACACAGCTTCCTCTGGACTTAGCTGGAGTGATGTGTTATAGTTCATTTTCCCAGAAAGGAAATATCTTGACAGACATATTTATATAGAAAGCTTTTCTTCTAAAAAAAAAAAAAAAAAAAAAGCCTATTTGACTTCAATTATTATTCAAAATGTTGCTCTCTCTTTAAGCAATTAATGTACTTTCTTTTTAAGTGTCTTTGAATTTGAGGTGTACTCAGTTCTGGTCTCCACTTTTTGGGAGAAGTTCACATTAGCTAGAACAGATTTTTTCTTGTGATTACAATATTTAATAATTAAATAATTTGATAATTAAGTAATTAATTAATAATTAGCTCATGGTGTTGTCCTTGTGACAAGCATTAAATCCTGTCTGAGCTACTTATATTTAAAAAGGATTTATGCTGGCTACTATTACTGGTCATTAAAAGTATTTCAAAATACTAAACTCTGATGTTTATTTTTTTTCTTTCTTTCTTTTTTTTTTTTTTAAGAATAATAGGGCACATATCCCTGTCTCTTCCAGTTCCCCACAGCTCACTATTTGTGCCAATTATTGATTAAACTTGCATAAAATGTCAGAAGCTATTATCACAACTCCTATTATGAGTGACTTGGTAAGGACTACCACTTAAAAAAGGGAAATCTCCCAGCCCATCAAACACTAATTCCTCTTTATTATTGTAGTAACATATTTGATGGGTTCTCATCCAGCAATGAAACTGAGAGCAGTGAACTGGGAGGCACAGATACTGTAGAAGCATGACTCATTTTAGAACTGGGTATGTCTTTGATATTTAGTTAATCTTTTCATGGCCTTCCACCTGTGAATTTCCCACTCTGCTAAAAAGAAGCTGCTTGGGAACAAGAAGAAAGGACAGGATAAAGGATAAAGGGTGTCTTTTTTAAAAATGGAGAATGAGGGGTGGTATTTACATTGTTTCCTGAAAGAAAATTAAATTGTAAAAAATTGTCGCCTTTAAAAAAATAGATTATATTGTCCATGAATATGCAGATTCACGTTCCCTAAGAAGAGTATAACTGTGTTACAATAATCAGCCTAAAACATCATCCTTTGCATCATAAAAATAAATTCCTTCCATGTGGAAATATTTTAATGAGAAGCAGGATTAATGTGTGTTACAGAAATGCAATGGTTTACATTTTTATCCTATGCAGAGAACATCGTCAGTAGATTTCTATTGTTCACCTCAGCCTGGCGATTAGGGTAGTAGCTTGTAGCTTCAATGCTTGAAATCAGTGCTTGAAAATAATGAATCCCCCAAACCAACATCTTCCTAAGGAGTTGTGGGGCTGGTTATGAATACACAGGTCAATCTAGAGGCCATATGATCTGCTCCCTCAAAGACTCACAGGAACTGACAAATAAGGAGGATAAGGCTGCCACATCTTCTCCAAGTGACATTTTGGGAGGTCTGGACAGGAACTGCCTGGGGGCTATTGACTATCTTCCACCATCCTTCCTCTTGCTGTGCTCCAGCTGTAGGGGAGTGGCAAGGAGATGGCACCAGTTGCTCTTTCTGAAATACCCCTGCCTTCATTGGGCCTGAAATGTCCCAAAAGCTGGCAAATGTAAAAGAAGAACAAAGTCGAACAGACTGGCTGTGATTCTCTTTTTCCTTCAAAAGCATTTCCAAACTTCATTTTTCACCTAATAAAATTGAAAAGCTAATCATCCTACCAACTGTGTATCTGTTTGGTGGACCCTTGTGGCACAATGCTTGGTCCCCCAGTATGCCTCTTGTCATCCTAAAACAGTTAGGAACTTTCATGTGACTGACTCAGATGATGCCACCAAGTCAGCTTCAGTGAGGCAGGTCCTGTTTGCAAGCCTGGGGCTCTGCTGAATTTACAAAATCTCCAGGGTTTGAGAGGTGTGAACCTGGCACAGCTGCTGCTTCCTCTTTTGTCTGGTTTGAGAATACAGACAAAGACCATGACACTTTTCCCCATTACTTGCTTGCGGTGTGAAGATGACTTTGTTTCCCCAGCTGCCTCTGCCCAGCCTTCCTTTTCTCATTAGCAGTCTTAGCCACACAACACAAACACCACCCAGCACTGTGCAAGTACTCTGCCTGTTAGTGAGAAGTAAGAGTGGGCAGTACTGCACCACAGCATCCCCAATGCCCCCAGGCAGCCCAGGATTTACTGTTTAACTAAAGTGAATAGCACTGGAGTGTGTGCTTCCAGTTAAGCACTTGTTTCAGGGCTGTGAGTTACCAGTGCTTAAAATAGCACAATCCACTGGCCAATACAGGCTTGAATTCACATAGACAAGAAATCTAATAACGGCAGAAAGGAGACATAAAATTAACAGGGACACTGAAAATTAATTTTAAGACACATGGTTCTTAAAAACACATCTGCATGTTGCTTTTATAGCAAGGATTTGGAAACAAAAGCAATGCAGATGTTTTATTTTGGCAATGTTTCCTATTTGAAGAGAATGAGATTCTTTCCGTATCACATGAAACCTTCCAAAGTTGCCATTAACTTTTCACATAAGTTGCAATGGTTCCTGACACAAGCACTGTGGCCAGACAGAACAGTTTTCCCCACCTCATGATGCAGGGAAACTAGATGTTGTAACAATCTGTTTATATTTTGAGAAATCCAGAAGACTCAGGCTGAACATGGGCTGAACAGTCACATAGCTTGTTTTAAGAGATGCCAGCACTTACATACAAGTCATTACTTGATGCTGGTTGAGGTGTTTCTAGACAGAAGTTTTTTTGCCAAAGCAACAGCTGGAGTGGAGAAGAAAGTTTATTTTCCAAAAATAAAAAGGTAGAATTTTTTCCAGGACTTATTGTATTGTTCTCATATCCAGCTAATATTTATTCCAAAAGTTCCATTGAATATTTGCTTTCATCTGAATGTCTTTGCAGCTTACAGAATTGTTAAATGTATTAAGCACAAAGGCCTTTCTCCAAAACCTGTGTGCCTGGAAGCGTTCCCACTTCTATGTAGTCTCATAAAAGTTGTTACTTGTTGTTACTGATTTTCCTTTCTCATATCCATCACACTACAAAAACATCAGTGCAAATTGCACAGTTAAAGAGACCTTACATGTGTTTTCAACTGAAAGTTGTACGCAGAAAAATACCCTTGTATTTCAGAGAGATATTTTTGCTATTCTAATGTCTAGGACCAGGTTTGATTGGCCAGATTGACTACAAGCCACTGGCTGAATGGTATTCTACATCTCCCAAAGGAGAAATTGAATATCTATGTAAAAATAGATTTATAAAACCCTGTACTTTGGCACTACCCTTGCAGTGCATTGTCACTCCAATGGGTGCATTTGTAAGAGCACTACAGTTCAGGCCAGAAGTAGACCTTTGAGGTGAATTTTCTAGTCATTGCCCCTTGTTATGCCTCATTCCTCACCACAGGGCAGGCTCCGAATGCACCAACATATTTCCTTTCACATGGACAACAGGACAACATGACTCCTATCACATGCCATCACCCCAGGAGATTTTTTTTTTTTCAGCAAGCAATGGGCATCCACTCCATAGGGCCAAGCTGCTGCCAAAGGAAAGCCCTAAAAATGCTTCAGAGGTGGGCAGCACCTCACCAGGCTCCTGCCAGGTTGTGTCATGGGTGGCCACCACCATGGACAGGAATTGGGATCCAGCTTTCAAGCCCTTGCAGGTGCCCTTGTCATCTGTGTGAGCTTTAACTTGGCAGCTGCCCACAAGAGGTGTTTTGCACGTCACAAAGCTATCTGAGCTTTTGGTTCTTTTAGATATTTGGCTGATGTTTGAAAAGAGCTGTTCTTCCTGCTCCTGGATCTTGTTACAGTGGTAAGCTCCACTCCTGCAGTATTAGTCACTCAGTTGTCCTCCTAGAGGCAGGTAGTGTGGGGGCTGTTTTGCAAGAGCTCAGTGGAGCCTTTCAGTAGCCATTTGTTTAATTGCTTAACCCTTAGTTTTACACTGATGTATTATTTCCTCCTGAGAAAGAAATAAGTTCTTTAGCATAGAAAAATATGATGATTCTTGAGCAGTGCAAGTAAGATGCCACACAGACAGGAAAGCCAGTCATGACTGCATAACCCTTGTGCTAAGGTCCCAGATGGGAGGCATACCCGTGGAAAATACTTTGCCCCACCGTGCTTGCCAGGAAATCATTCACTTGCCAGGGAGACATTTCTTACCTCCCCAGAACACCACAGGACAGCAGAGATGGTCCTGCCAGGAGCTCAGTGCCACTTTCAATAGGGATGAGACCTGGTAAGCCACTTTTTATCACTCAGACATTCTGTATCTACACATAACTGCTCATTTTGTCCTCAGAGACTGCTTCATTTATAGCATCAAATTTCAAATATCACTGTAGGATGGGATGGGATTTCAACACTAGTGCTGTGGGGAAAATTATTTATTGGCAGAAGGGAGTTTATAAAAACATTAAGGCATTCTTCTTCATTTTATTTATGATGAGATATCCCAGACACTTAAGGGCAGAAGTAAACTAGGATGAACACATATTTTTCCTGCCAGTAGTGCCCATATTTCACAGGGACATGAAAAACCAGACATTTCTAGATAGGAAGTGGAAGATTCTTTCCTCTATATGAAATAATTTAAAGTTCTCCTTTTATGTTGTGCAGTCTTCCTTGTCATTTGATAGTGTTGTTAGCATCATTGTAGTGATGATGCTAAACATAAAAGAAAATTTTTTAATTATGCATTTATTCTCTCCAGTAATCCTTCAAAATATTGCTCTGGGTTAAGGGATAAGGTTAGTGGGATTTAAAGACCAGCTTACTAGTACAACAGCAACAAACAATTTAGGTTAGGTTAGGTCGGGCTAGGCTGGGCTGGGTGAGGAACAGAGTAAATGTAATGGAGACATTTGGGTTTAGAAGCTTCTTTCTCGGGAAGTGCAGTTTTGTTCCTGCTTAGTGTTACATACAGTGACGTCGAGTCCTCGGGTGGGGAAAGAGGAGGGGTGATCTCCTAACAAACAGCTGTTGCAGCTGCAGAGAGGAAAAAGGAGAAAGCTCAGGAGCAGCAGAAGTATTCGACCCCTGCAACAGGTAATATGACTTGGGCACAGCTGACCTAGACTGCTCAAATGCAAAAAGGAAGGGGGAAAAACAATGGGTGGGATGTTCCTGTGGGAGAGAAGTACCTCAGCTGTACTAGTTGTCAGCAGCTCTCTTCTTCCTGAGCTGCAGAACCCTCAGCTTGTCACAGGGGTGGGAGGGGGAAGGAAGAGAAGATCAGACCACTATGACTTAATTACTACTTAAAAGGAAACAGTGTCAGCAGAGGGGCTTTTCTAGCAGATCTTTCCTGCTGAAATAAGAAAAAGAGCACTGCTCTCTGGTTTCAGCCTAAGGGCTGGTTCCTCATGTGCAGTCAGGGCATGTGGGAAGATGGCCAAGTGCAATGGCCCTGACAGCAGGGAAGTGCTCAGTGCACGCAGGCTCAAGTGGGGCCCTGGGACCAAGGGACCCTGCTTGGGATGCCCCCTGAGAGGGACCTGTGTGTGGCCTTCATCCTGGCACTATTCAAGGCACATATAGCTGGGGCAAAGGGATGCCCTGAGCTGGGTGCCTCTGCTGTGCTGTCACCTTAGCTCCCAGGAAAGCATGGTCCTGACCACCCTTCAGACACTGAGGGCACCTACCTCCATGCTTGCCTTGGGTCATAGTTGTCACTAAGACACACTGGAGACCTTCATGATAAAAATAATAAAATGCAACAGTTACACTTTTGTGACATTTCTACCTGAAGAAATACATCAGGTTTTGCGAGCAAAAATGGTAAAATCTCTGCTGGTGAATAGAAGGAAAGGAAGGCTATTTGGGACCATGCTGCAGTGTGCTAGTTCTGATATTTATTACATTTCATCTAGTATTGTAGGTTTTGAGCCCAGAGAGAAAGAAGATAAAGTTTTCCACTAAGCAAAGTTGATACTAAGTATGATAACTGCATTCCTAGCATTTCAATGTATTTGGCATAAAATCAGTCACAGTAAGGAGAAACTGGTAACTAAAACAGCAGATAGCAAGTCTGGCCTTCTGTGTCTGCCTCCTGCAAGACCCATGTTTGTTTGTTTCTCCTGTCATCAATGCAGGTAGAGTACTGAAATGTGTAGTGATCCCCAAATGCCTTCAAAGGAAAGCAACTTGAAAGTCTTAAAACACCTCACACTACAAGGGAGAAATGCAGCAGCAAACCAGGCACTAGTGAGGCAAAGTGAGGTTTGGAAGATTAGCCAGCAAGACTGAACAGCTACCTTGTGGATTGCTAGTCAGTGCTTTGTCTACAGGGGTGCTCTAGAGGCAGGTTCTGTGAGGTAAATGTGGAATGATGTGAACCGAGGGAAGCAGGGAATCTAACTAAAGCCCATTTCTTCTGCTAGTGACTTTACCAATTCAGCAGATAGCTGAATTTTGTGTTGTGATGCAAAACTACTGGGACAGTGAAATAAGTTATCCTCAGCCTTATTCAGCCTTTGGATGAGAAACACCTTAGAGAGTAGTCACATTTCAGCTTCTTCTGAAATCACCTTTTATTCTCTGCAGATTACTTCACCTCTGTGAAAGGCTTATGTTTGGTCTCATGTACCTTTTGTGCAGTGATTAACAAAGTAGGATGAAACTGCATATTCAGATGAGGCTGCTCCTTTACACAGTGGAGAATATCACCAAGTGAGGGAGCTGTGCTGCTGGCAGCACTGGTGCCAGGATCTGTCCACCAGGTAACACGAGCACGCTGCCTGGCAGCACATCTCTACACTGCACTGGGAATACGGAGCCCTCCACAAATGCTAGCACTGTGTATGCATTTCAGCAGTCGCCAGGACGTTTTAAAGATGACGGGTTCTAAATGCAACAGCTGCCACATTGCAAAAACACTAATGTGAGGCTGCACTTATGAATGTCCTCTTGGTTATTCCCTGTTTAGTCATGACCAAGTAGTTTAAGGATTATTAAGGATTAGAAAACAACAGTTTTCTAGCCAGCCAATGGAGGAAGAGTCTGGAAAATATGACCAAATCACTAAAAGACAACTTCTGAGGATGACAGACAGATGTAGCAAACCAAAATTCAGAAGAGAGAAACCATATGCTCAGCTTGCATCCAGTTCAAAGCCCATATGGCAATATCAGACCAAAGTGAGCGGTGGAGGTGCTGGCTGGAAAGCCTCAAGGTTTTTATGACGGTTCCTGTAACTTCCCTACCCATTCTATCCATCCAGTAATAAGATTGTTTCTTAAATCAGCACAGTGTTCCTAATTTTCTGTCATTTTGTAATGTACAGTTTCCCATCCTTTTTTCTTACAACAAGATAGAAAAAAGTGTCATTCAGTAATTAAAGACATGGGATTTGAGGTCAGTTTATATAGATCTCACTGGACTTTAATACAATTCAGTTGTATCATACTTTTCCCAAAAGGAGGGTATATAGAATACATTCCTTTGTTATATGTCTTATTTTCATAATATCCAAGGGCACAGATGTCTCTTGGGAGAGATATTTTTCCCCACAAATCTTGTTGTGCTTGTAGAAGTGATGATATGAACAGCAGCCATCCTGCACAACTAGAAGAGAGGAAGACAGGCATTTTCTAAGATCTCCCTGGGACTTATTTAGAATAAAAACTTAGAAGATCAGTTTATATAGATCAATTTGAATAAGTCTGTATTGTTATTTATGGTCTTGGTCCAGTATAGGCTTTTATCAAAACACAGAAATTTACTATGTTTGTTATTATATAGATATAAATGAAATAAAGTGTGATGGCAGAGACTGAATGAACACACAGGATCAAGGGGCAACTTAAAGAGAGTACTACTTATTGGGGTAGGAAATCAATAGGCCAAACACAGGAGACACAGGAGATAGATTCTAGTACAAAATTAACAAATAAATTTCCCAAGAAGGTAGATAGTCTTTTTTATAGCTGGAGGACAGCAAGCATCTCTCTTCAGAATAGGCCAGAAGAAAATACATTTATGGGAAATTAGGATCTCCAGAGCCTTTGAAGTTTTGCAAAAAGTCAGATTATCCATGAAAATTAGGTTAGAATAGCTACAAAAGTGCTTCTGCTCCAACAGAAGGTTTATTTTATGAAATGCAGCTTGAATCCAACAGTCGGTGGAGTATCCTTGTTTAGTTACTTTTTCCTCTGGCACAAACTTCACTTTATGGCCATAGCTCACCCTCATGATTGGTGGAAACTCAGAAAAGTTTTCTGGGCATATCCCAGGTATAGCCACAAAGAGAGCCTTTGATCCGTCAGGCAGAGTTCTGTTTTGCGACCACTCAGAGAGTTTTCACTGATCTTTTTACATTTCACAGAATCATAGAGTGGTTTGGGTTGGAAGTGACATTAAAAATCGTCTAGTTCCAGCCCCCCTACCATGAGCAGAGACACCTTCTGCCAGAGCAGGTTGCTCAGGGCCCCATCCAACCTGCTCTTGAATACTTCCAGGGATGGGGCATCCACAACTTCTCTGGGTAACCTGTTCCAGTGCCTCACCACCCTCACAGTAAAGAAGTTTTCCCTAATATTTAATCTAAACATACTCTATTTCAATTTGAAACCATTCCCCCTTGTCCTGTCACTACATACGCTTGTAGTCTCTCTCCACCTTTATTGTAGGCTCCCTTCAAATACTAGAAGCCATCTCTTCTCCAGGCTGAACAGTCCCAATTCTATTAATGTTTCCTCATATGGGAAGTGCTTCAGCCCTCTAATCATCTTGGTGACCCTCCTCTGACTCCAACATGTCAATGTCCTTCCTGTGCTGGGGATCCCAGAGCTGGATGCAGCACTCCTGGTGGGGTCTCACAGACCAGAGCAGAGGGCAGAATCACCTCTCTCGACCTGCTGGCCATGCTGCTTGTGATGAAGCCCAGGAGACAACTGACTTTCTGGACTGCAAGTGCACATTGTTGGATCATGTCCAGCTTCTTACTCAGCAGCACCATCAAGTCCTTCTCAGCAGGGCTCTTCTCAGTTTCAGGTCTTTTCCTTTGATTTACTAACATGTCCAAAGAGGGTGCAATTTCTTACAATATGTTGTTGTAAGTCACATGGTTTGCTTTATTATTTTCACTTCCACAGCTTTACCATGAACATGTACCTGTTTGTGTATGACTTAATGCAATTCTGTGGACATTCATGGATATTTACAAATATGATCATCAGGTTCATGACGTTTGGAAAAGGTAAGATTCTTTCTCTATTTTCATTAAGCATTTTAAGAGGCAGTGACAGACACAGAGAAATATCAAACTAGAGATTAAGTTAAGATTCTGAATATGTGACTATAATTCAATTAGGAAAATACTCGGTTAAAAAGGCTGAACAAATTACTGATACCTGTGTTCTGTCCCTGTCACATAAGGAATGAAGCTCATTTTGCTAATGGGTTTTAATATTCAGCAGCATGCTAGTAACATTTGACTTAGACATAGACCTAAATGTGACTAGGTCCAGTCATTATGGCAAATATTAATCTTACTAAAGCCACCAGGAGGGAAGATGTTAGTGGTTATTGCACATGACTCTCTATCTCCAAAAACATTACAACGTATTCCTCTTTCTATTGCCTGGAGTTAAGACACAAAAACAGAAAACTGGTGATGATTTATAGTGGTGGACAGTTGTAGGCATATAAAATGCCTCCTTTCTGGTCTACTTGTTTTAGGCAGTGCCATGGGTACAGATACAGGCAGGAATGCAACATCTCCTCATGTTTAGACATTCTTCATGCATTTGCTCAACATTTCCTCCTATTTAGAAATTTCCCAAAGTGGTATCTCTAAACCAACACATTCAGTACAGTGTATGCCCATGAATTAAATATAGGGCATTTAATTATTTTCTCAGCTCCTTGCCTCTGCATCAGAGCCACACACGGAGTGGACTGCCTCCTCCACTCCCTGAAGCTTGGCTTCTGCTACCCAAAAGTTTGGTAATGTGTGAACTTTATTTCTCTAAATCTCCAGTGGTGATAGGGCAAGAACTAACCCAGCAGTTGCTCCAGACCTTTACTGTATAACCATCCTCTAATTTTCCTCTTTGCTTTGTCTATAGATTCATTGGCAGACACCTTTTACTCCATAGGACTTGTAATGCGTGTTTGCCAATTGTTATCTATACTGGAGATCCTACACATCCTCACTGGCATTGACAAAAGCCGTCTGCTCCCCAGGTTTTTGCAGGTAAGTTCATTTCTCAAAACTGTCTTCATGACCTACATGCCAGCCATGGCTCCCCCTGGGGACAAGCCCAGGCTGAACTACCCTGAATGTTCCACCTGCACCCCTCCTCGGGGAGCCTGGTCTGCTGATAGTTTGCTAACTGCAGGAATTGAGTCCTCAGAACTGGGTTGCTTGGGAAGGAGCTGTCCTCTCAACTTTTTTCTTTTTGAGCAAAACTGAATAGTGAGTGCCACATGCCTTGGCCCACAACAGCAGAGACTCAGAAGATGTCCAGATAAGTGGCCACCTGCAGAAGTGGGTCAGCTCCCATTTCTGGGGTGTAAGTGGCTGAGGCTACTATCTCCCCAGCCAACCTGTTTACAGCCAGAAGCATTTCAGAACCCAAGTTTCAGTATCTAATTATTTTCCATGCCTTTTCTTCACCAACAAGTGAATAATTATTTTATAGACAAGAACAAGACAAAATTTTGTGGGGTAGCAAAAGGATGGCAGTGAGAAAACCACCAGCACATCAAGCCTCCTGAAACATGGTTTGCAGATCACGGAAGGAAAAGAATTGATTAAGAGAGAAATTTAGGAGCTGAAGAGTTAATGCTGGGAGGAGAAAGAAAGGAGAACTGTCATGTTCTTGCAGCAGAAGTCTCTGCTGTCACAGACCCAGGCAAATGGTACCAGCATCCAGAGGTTCTGATGCTGTTCAGGGTTTACAGGGCATATAACAGAATCATAAATTTGAATGAGATCTTCAAATCATCGCATCCAACTGTCAACCCAGCACCACCATAATCACCCCTAAACCGTATCTCCAAGTGCCACATGAGACACCTCTTGAACGCTTGCAGAGAAGGTGACTACACCACCTTCCTGGGCAATTTATTCCAATGCCTAACCACTCTTTCAGTGAGAAGAATTTTCTGACATGTAATATGAACCTCCCCTCACACAACTAAAGGCCCTTTCCTCTTGTGCTTTTGCTTGAGACATGGAAGAAGGGAATGACCTCCACCTCTCTACAACCTTCTTTCAGGCAGTTGTCATGGGATAGTAGCATTTAAGAAAAACACTTTGAGATACATGTTATAAATAGTGGAAAAGCAAACTCAGAGCTCTTTTCTGGAAAAGCTCATCCAGAATTTCCTCACTGAGGGAACAGTTTCAGGCCAACAGGCACCTGAGAAGGGTTAGGTAGGCCAAGGCCAAGTCACACCATGACAGAAAGATGAATCTGATGTGATGGATGTGCTGGGGGAAGGCAAGACAGGGCATGGTCAAAAAGCTGGTGCAAAAGGGATGTCTCTCATTTGCAGCTTGAGTTGGGGAGAAGGGCAGGACAACATGCCCTTGTCGCCAAAACAGAAGATAATAAAATGTGACAGTCTGGCCAGGGACTGGTACCTTAGTAAGGAGAGAGGAAAGATTAAAAAAAAAAAAGAGATTGGTGGTTTTCTGAACAAAACACCAGTTCTTCATCCTGTGCAAACAGGATTTGATTCACCAAACCAAAAACAACGTAATACAGACTTGTGATAAAACCATTCACTTTAAATATTTAGTAGCAGTTTTCTGACTTTTGTTTTGTTTTTAACATTCACTGAATTGAAGAGCCATCTAAGGGTTTCAGCTACCAAGTACAATACTGCAGTCACAGTCATTAAAAAATGGAAGTGAATGTGCTGCCTGCTCCTGCCCAGACCTCAGCTAGCCAAATTTGCTCTGTTTCACTTACTTGATTCAAAAACACAGGCTGCCTTGTGGAAATTTATGCCCTTCTACAGAACTTGCTGTATTCTGTGAGAAATCAGTGCTGGGAGAGGAAGGAAATTCCGATTTGATTTTAAAGAAGGAAAGAAAAGTGAAACCATTGTAATTATGCCTTGTGACATGTCAGCACATATTTTCTTTTTATGAATGTGAAAACATGAGACTTGGAGATTTGCTGGTTTGTTTTTTTCCTAAGCAACAGAGCAGCAAAAGAGAATCCCATATTTTCATTCATTCAAGGATGGAAGATCCATACAGGAAATGATCCATTGCTGAGCAGTAGCATGTGCTTTTTATCTATGTGTGTATATGTGTGTATATGCACATGTGTATATATTTATATATGTACATGACTCCATGTATATATGTATACAGATATGGTGTGTATAGGGGCACAATATCAACAGACATTTACTGGAATCTCCTCTTCTTCAAATAGCTTGTCACTTGCAGAAAAGGTCCCCAGTCCCTGACTAACCCCTGCTTCTACCTTTTATTTGTGCAGGCTACCTAAAGGTATGAGCTGTGAAAGAACACAATGTCTTGAAAGGGAATAAAGGCAAGCAGGCAGGCAACCCCCTGATTTATGCAGAAAAAGAGGTAGGATGCCACTGTCTGTCCTCAAGGGGACATTACAATTGCTCTGAGCAGCCAGGTCTGTCCCCTGCCTGCAGACGCTCCTGAGTAAGGCCACAGGTTGTTTCCTGGTTCAGTGTCTGGTGGCTGCTTTGTGCATCCCATTCTTTGCCAGATGAGACTGCAGTCTAAGGGGAACAGGAGATCTACAGGGGGCCAGCTTTGTGTCATGTTCAGCTTCCTGCTCTTGCCGGTACTTAACATCGTTTACAGTCTGATTACCAAGTTCCATCATATGCAAATAGTAGAGATGAGTGCCTCCATCACTCCCATTCCCAAGCATGAATCCTCTGATGGAGGAACTATGCCTCTCATGTTTCTGCTTGTGCCTTAATGAGAGAAGAAAATCCACAGCCTCTTCCACTCCCAGATCATGAGGCTGAACTGTGAGTCTCTATAGCCACTCTGTCTCACTGGCCAGTGCACATTCTTTTGAAACTGGGGATGGTGACTTCCTGCTGCTTGTCTTTTTTCTCACTGAAATGGGAACAGATTCTGATCACTCGACCCATGCTGTTTTCCAACACATTTCCCCCAAGCTGATTCTTGAAAAGCAAGTGACTATTTGGAAAATCTTCCATCTCTGATATCTAGAAACATGTCCATTTTTTTCATTATCATGAAATAGCCTTGGTCTTTAGGACAATTTCCTGTGGCAACTCCCTGAAATAACTCTTTATTAACAACATTGCAGAACTCTCTCTCCCCATCTGAGTCTGATTTTAAGGTCAGTAACAAAATGCCCACATCACCAATGCTGCACTCTTTACCACCCTTCATCTAACAATTTTATCTCAGGTCTATTTTATCTGTTCTCTCCTGCACACAATCCCATTCAGTGCTCACACTGCTTTCACCTTTGTTTTATTTTCCCTCTTGTGATGGTTGTCCTGCCATGTTTCTCCTGCCTCTGTTCTATCTGGTTTCAGATCCTGAATCAATACTTGCAGTTCCCCTACGCTTTTGTCAAGTTCCTTGGCATCACTGTACAAACATAGGACCTCTCAGTTTCTGTTTCTTGACCCATATACACAGAAGTCTGTCAACATCTGACCTTTTTGGAAATCAATTCCTCAGTTACGGACCTATGGGATCAGAAACAGAAGATGACAGTCAGGATAGGGTGAGAGGCAGCAAAACTATTTTTAGCTGTTATGGGCCCTCAGTACTTTCCAAGATGAGGAACCAGATCCCTAAGGGATAGACATGCTTTCTTTCTGTATGAAAAAATTGCTCTCACATAATTTTGCTGAATAGTGAAGGCTGCTTTATCCAACAGACGTGGTTTGCAAAAAAGTTTGTCCCAAAATGATCCATGCAGGAACCCACAAACATTATGTAGCAAAATTACCACACAAATTGGCTTAGAGGGAAATTTCTTATTTCGTTTAAGGAAGGAGTAAGGAGAAAAGAGGAAACCAGTGAAGAATTACTGTGCTTATAAAAACAACCTTGGTAATCCATTTTCATTTTGTAACTTTTCACTGGCTTGACACCTCAACCTGTGAAATCATTAAACCTAAGGTATCTTATGGAAGACATGGCAGTGGGTAAAAAAAAACTAAACCAATGAAGCTACACTGATTAATGCTAACTGATTAAATGCATGTTTTCTCCTTCAATACTTTCAAATAAAGTGTAAATCAGAGTGAATTGGTAATGTTCTGGGAGAGCCTGACAAGCAAATTCTTGGCAGTACTAATATATTTACTTTGCAGGGCAGGGCATGGATACTGTTAGGAAACTTTTTCAGGAAAGCTGCAAAAAGACAAACTTGTTTTTGATTCCGTGAGCTTTAGTACCACAGAAGTATTTATTTTAAGCTGGGGACACCGCCCATTTAATCCACTTTTATCTCTTCATTTGTAAAGGCATACCTTGTGGGTCAGATAAAGTTCAACCCCTAGAAAAATGTTAGGGCATAAATACTAAGGCAATCACTCACATAAGTGACAAGCTTAAACCTTCCTCCCCCAGTCAGGAATAAGGCAGAAAGAAAGACAGGAATTCTGCTTTTCCTCCCTCTTTCTGCAAATCTTACATGACAGAGATGCCTTGAGACACAAATCTCTAAGTTATGGAAAACAGAGCTGGGAGTGTGAGATTAGTACTTTCTGGCATACTACCCCTCCAAGAAGGGCCCTCCGTATCCCACTGCCTCCCACACGGCCTATAAGCAAGGGAACTCATCCCTGCTGGCCCTCCAGGCACCGGTGTGCAGTGGGAGTAGTCCTTGCTTCCACGACCTCAGCCGGTTCAGCCACAGGTTTCCTAGGTTACAAACCCAAGTCATGCCGCTTGGCAAGCAAACCTCCACACTTACCATGGCAGATCTGTGATGTTGCAGCCAGCGGTGTCCAGTTGCCTGTGAAGGCTAATGGGATCTTGAACAAAAGCAGGTCAAGAAACAAAACATCTACTGCTGAATTTGCGTAAAGAAAACTGGATCCACCTGTAGCCTCCTATTTTGCCACAAAGGCACAGAAATAACAGCTACAGAAGGTGCTACCTGAATTCAAAATTCTCTTTTCTTTTCAGATCACTGAGAGAATAATTGTTCTATTTGTCGTCATCAACAGTCAGGAAGAAGTTCAAGGGAAATATGTCGTGTGTGTTTTATTTTTCCTTTGGAATTTATTAGATGTGATCAGGTAAGGAGTTAGCATCAAAAAAACAGGTTATTCTTGCAAGCAGAACCCCACCCTTACTGTGCAGCAGGCTCATTTAATTGTTTCAAAATTGGCAAAGCATATTATCCATTTTAAGCAAAGCTTGAATCTTATAAGTTACTTATTGGTTTTTATAAAAATCCACATGGTTAAGAGGCAGAGTGACTTAAAAATATAAGACAGAGTAATGCAGTAACATAATGCATTATCATTTGTAGTTCAAAGGCTTTGCCTTTTTTAACAAAAATTTAAAAGGAAATCGAAACTACCTTCCAAGGAACAACAATTTCCGAAACTGAATTATGACCCTGTTGCTTTATTTTTTTTTTTTTGTTTTTATCCACTTTGATCCAAGATTGATAGCACGGTAAGGCACCAGCAGAACTTCTTGCTAAAATGAAAAGACTATTCTAGGTTAATTGCACGTGTGCTTTCCCAAAAGCCAAGAGGCCCTGTAGCAGAAATGAGCATTTTGGTGTAGTAGGGCACATATCACAGCACAAGGACAACAAACATACTTCTCAAATGTAACATAAGCCTCTATGCACCTCAGTTTGTAGACTTACAGCAGGTAAAACATACAGAATTAAGAAGCATTTTAAGAAGACATAGCCCTCACAGCAACCTATGTATGGCAGCAAAATCTTTTTTTCTTTCTGCTAAAATAGCTTTCTGCTCCTTCAAATATATTGCTTAGGGGACTGACTGAAAAATATGGATTTAGGCAGCAAAGGAAATGCATGTTATAAAAGAGATCTAAAAAAGAAAAGTGTCGGAATTAACAGAGATTTTAAGTCAGCTTCAGAGTATCTGTACTGCATGTGTTAATAGACTACTACTTATATTAATTATTTTGATTATTGTTCCATCCTATTTATTTTTGAAGCTTGTAAGGCTAAAATAGTAGAACTTAATCTGAAATGAAAGGGTTCTGTGCAGCTGGAGAGATGCCAAAAATATAAACAGCATTGGCTGTAACGTCTTGTCAGTGCACAGTAGTTCTATCAAAGCATCATTAATTTTCTACCATTGCTTAAGAACACGCTCCAGCATCACAGCAGTAATGGTAGTTGCTTAGTAAGCAAAATACTGTAGTCTATAGTAGCAAATGACCAATTCAAATAACATATTACAACTCATACAGGCTTAGAATTATTGCCTGATTTCTTTTACAGCATCTGTGTCATGTCCTAATATCTCAAAGAAACATCCATGGCTAAAAGTGCAAAGGGATCTATCCCAACCAACTACTCTTGAAATATTACATGTTCTTCCACATAGTCCTTCAGGGACATAAATATCCCTGAAGGACTATTTATTGTGCATTATGACTAATGGTGGCCATGAGCAAATTCTGCAAGGTTTTCTGTACCTGATCTTTCCTGCTTATACCATGAACAGCCCATGGAGTTGTATAGAGAGGGAGTAGCTGTTCCTTTTCCTGTTTTGTATCAGGTTGAGATTCAGCCTTAAAAGCAACAATAATAAAAAATTGAGACAATCCTGAGGTTTCAGAGGACAATGAGAGAAAATGGTACATTTACAGCCTATCACACTCTTGCACAGCCCAGGTATGATGCAAAATTAACCAATTCATAAGACAGGAATATAGAAGGTTTGTTTAATGCTGGTTTCATCTGTCAGAAAATCTTGGGTAACAGACTTTTGTACCTCTAGCAAGACCACAGAGCAAAATGCCTCTCAGCTGACCAAAAATGCAATCAGATCTGTTTCTCAGTGTTTGGAAAGCTCCTGTACCACTTTAAGATCAAACCAGGATTAGCTCACCTTTGGATCTGAAGTCCTAAGCATTCTGGTCTCCCAGTGAGAAACAGTAACAGCCACAGTAAGAATATAATGATGAATTACACTGGAAAACAACTTTTTTTTTTTTGCTCCTACTACCTTTCTGAGGTCTAGGAGAGGGGCAGATGTACTACAGAAGGTTAAGTTCCTGCAATTACCATCCTGTTTAGCCTTTTCCAGCTAGCTCAGCAGTCATAAATTAGCATTTTCTCAGTCCCCAGTGATAGGCATATTCTACCTGCACCTCCCAGTTGCGATATCCTCATCTGAAATTAATTTTCTAATGGATCAGTGTGAAATCATGATGTTTCTGATAGAGCTTTCCATCAGGAGGGCTCTATTGCTGTCTGCCTGCTCTGGGGTAGCACCACACACCCCCTCTTCAAAACAATGAACCCTCTGCTTTTAGATAATGGAGCCCGAACAAAACCGTTGTTCACTCTGAAATTTACTGAGATAGGCTGCTCCAACCTCTTCTGCAATTCCTTTGGATTTTTCAATAGCGTCTCTTTATTCTAAAAGACATCATCATGCCCTCTGAGCTCATCTGCTTTCCTCTTGCTGCAGATACACTTACAGCATGTTGGCAAGGATGGGAATATACTACCTACCACTGACATGGCTCAACTTCTCACTCTGCATCCCACTTTATCCCCTTTCAGTTCTGGCTAAAGGTAAGGAAGTGGGAAAGGTACCAACAACTTGCTTCCTCAATATTCTTCAAAAAAATGTGATCGCTTCAACTGTCATTTGTGTTTAAGGCAGTTCTTGTGTTGTCAAAGTTGTCATAAATGTTTATGTACCTTCCTATTAAACTGTATGTCACTTCTCTTTCTCTTTCTCTTTTCTTTTATCTTCAATAGGGGCTCTCTGACGTTTGGGGTTTGTGCCTCTGGTGGGGTTTTTGTTTGGTTGGTTTTGGATTGTTTTTTAACAATACAGGAAAATGTTCATTTTTCTGAGTAAAGCAGAAAAATAGTCTTGTAAAAGACAAACAGATTCTCCCACATTATTCTATTGTGCTCATTCCACACTGAGCACATTAGACAGCAAGTTCCAAAGCTGCCTTCTCCCCCACTGAGGCTGACCTTACTGGTTTAGGCCATACTTAGCAGGTCATCATACTCCAAGAAAAGTGTCCACTGAGAGCACACTGAAAGCACTGTAACTACAGGATTGACACTGAATAGGAAATACTTGCTAATTCTAGTACTAAGAACAATTAGCACCTCAGACCTACAAAACTGAAGTAAAGGAGAAAATGTTCATATGAATGTGAATATATATGAATGTGAATATATATGTATATGAATGCATAGGTATATACAATACAGCTGTTTGTGCTTTAAAAGTAATTAACAGTTACACAAAGATTCTTGATGATCTTCCACTTCCTTTTGACTAAGGATTTACCATGTTTTACAGCATTTGCAATTTGCGTATCACTGCCTTATTTTGAATCTTTTGGCACATACTCCATCAAGCTACCATTTCCATTCGCCTTCTCAATCTACTTCCCCTATGTTCTGAAAATGTACCTGCTAGTGCTCTTTGCAGGTAAGTATCATCTTTCAGAAAGCTGGGTACCAAGGCAACTGGGATGTCTATGGCAACAAAGAATCAAGTTAGTATTGTGCCTTTCACAAACTCTGCCACATCTTCTGCAGACCACTGCAGGGAAGTGCATCACCTCCTGTTTTGATTTCTTGTTCTGTGCAACTATTGCTCATTCATTTGTGCAAGCTGGGATGAGAAGTTATATCTAAATTAAGACTTTTATAGCTTGACTATTCAAGCTGATTATTAGCCCACTCCAAAACCTGCATGTAAATAGGCCCCTTCTCGGCCCCTTCTCCTCATCACCAAAATACTTCTGAAAAATTTGGAGATTACAGACAAGTCTTTGTTCTGTCATTGACTTTAACATGAATTTGAAGGATCTCAACTTTATGATGCAGTGTTCTGTTCCTAAGTGGAAGGAACCGTGCAAGGTTGCCAGATGAAGGCTCCTACTGCTCCTTCTAAATTTATCGAAGACAGTTTGGACTCTACTCTCTTGTTCTTACAATATTTTGTGTTTTGATTCAGGTATGTGCTTTATCATCCAGAACCTCTTCTCTGAGAGAAAGGCACACCTAGGGACAATCAACATCAAAAATAAAAGAAGCTAAGTCGATATTTTGTTTGGACATACAAAATATACTTCTACTGGACTGCTGCACATCATAGGTTAAAAAGAAACTGGACAAAAATTTTTCAAGGTCACACTCCTTTTTGCATGTACATCATCTGGCTGTGTAGAATTTTCAGAAACGCAGGTCTCTTGAATGCACCTCAAAAATGGAGCAACTTTTGAAGACTTTTTAAAGTTTTGACTAAAAACTACTGGATTTTTAAAATTAATATTTTTTTTCTAACATAGGTTGGAGAATTCTGAACAAATTGAACAACCCTTATTTCGGTGTTCATTCTTACCTCATTGGCAACAAATACTCTGTAATGACAATTACCATTTAATCTCTAAAATTACTTTATATTAGGCCAACATGTATGTGCCTCATATATAAAAGTTAAAAAGGCTGGAACTGGAATCTCTCAAGAAGCCAGAACCTTTGCAACCTATGAGACTGACATGCTGATTAGCCCCAGGCACTCACATTCTGGCCCATTCTTCACTTAATAAAAGAAGATTCCAGAAAATGCACCTAACCAGAAGGGCAAGTGATCACACACTCAACTACTATATATTCAGGGGGATACTTAAGGGTCAGAAATAAATACTTATGATCATGTATCTGCCATGTCTGCCTCTTTCCCCACAATGATGAACAGCAGACAGACGTGTACAGGAGTGCAATGCGGTCAAGCCAAATATATGTTGTTCTTTAAAGAGAACTGAATGACTACCAAAAACCACGTGCAAAATTCTAGGCTTTTACTCAATTGTATTGCTCCTCATACTTCTGCATACCTGTGAGAATGCAACTAGATCATAGGCTCTTCAGAGGCTGGTAATTAAGAATACCAACAGCAACACAGTGGATTTTACAGGCAAAAATAGCCAAATAACTCATCTGGGCTGGCAGGATGTTTCCTATGTTTTATATGTATTGATTATCACCTGCAATTCAATTTAAATAGGTGGGGCAGAAAAGTGAGGCTAATTTTTTGAGCTTGACTAAAAACTGTGGGGAGGGAGGCAAGGTAGTAAGAGAGAATATAATAGGAAAATAAACACTATTAGAATATGAAGAGGCTTTTGCCTGTAAGACTTTTTAAACCATGTAGCCTAAGAAGTTCTATAAGGAAACGGGGAAGCTGAAAGGTCACCAACTATAATTTTTATATATTTAATATATGTGGCAGACAATATATAGACATATATCTATGGTGGACCAGGTTGTCCCTCTGCAGCCCATGCTGAAACACGCTAGACAGGAGATATCCACACTGCAGCCTGGGGAGGATCCTATGCTGGAGCAGGTGGTTGTACCCTGAAAGAAGCTGCAGCCCATGAAGAGCCCACACAAAAGCAAGTTCCTGGTAGGAATTGTGACCTATTAGGGACTCATGCTGGAGCAGCCTTTTCCTGATGGATTGTACCTCATGCTAGAGCAGCGCTTGAAGAGCTGCAGCTTGTGAGAAGGAGCCATCAAGGACTGTATCCTATGGGAGGGATCCCATGTGGAACAGGGGAGCAGCGTGAAGAGAAACAAGCAGCAGAGATGAAGGTTTATGAACCAAGTGCAACTTCCAATCCCTACCCACCTTGCACTGCTTGGGGAGGGTGCAGGTAGAAGATTCAGGAATGAAAGAGTAAAGCTGACCCTAGTCAGAACAGAGGGGTGGGGAAAAGGTGATTCTAGTTTTGTCTTTCTTACCATCCTACTCTATTTTTAACTGGCAATAAATTAGTCTTCCACAAGTTGAATCTGGTTTTCTGATAGTGAATGGTAAACGGTCTCCCTGTCTTGACCCATGAACTTTCTCATCCTATTTTCTCCCTGTCCTCTTAAGGTGTTGGAGTGAGAATGGACATCTGGCAGCCAGTCGAGGTCAAACCTACCGCAGATTAAGCCATGTTTATTGTTTTATGTTAAAAAATTTTTACGTCATTGAGTCTTGCAGCAGGCTAAAAGGCTAAAATAGGAAAAGGATTCTTTGAAATTCACTATGGGGAGGGCCTCTGCAGGCATAGGTACGCTTTTGGAAGAATTTGTAAGGGGAAGCTAGAACTTGCTGTTCCACTTAGGAAGCTTTTTTCCCTTTCCCTTCTGTATTTCAGAGAAAGCTGCAGGGAGAGCTGCGAGAGAGCTCTCTCTGGAATGCAGGACAGATTAAGTTCACAGACGTGTACAGGGCCTCCTCGGGCCACAGATGGAGGGGGAGGAGAGGGAGGATAAAAAAAGCCCTGGAAGAGCATGGGAGCCTTTTCCCTGAGGCCTGGTGCTGTCCTGCAGCACTGTGAGGCTTTTGCAAGTTTTTAGCATCCTTGCCTCCAAAACAAACCTTTTTGAATCCTCTCCACTGCCTTGGCATTTTTGGGGAAAGTACCTGCATATACTTCACCTTACAATCCCCAAATCCAAACTGCAAGAAAAAGGCATGAACCTAACGTCAGAAGACTTCCCCACCTCCTTCTGGTACAGAGGTAACTTGGGGCAGGCAATGGGGAGATCCAAGCAGTCAGACTTCCATGTGTCACCACAGCAGGCCACTGTAACTTCAGCTCCAATGCTTCACCTGAGTTTCTGGAAAAGCTCTGGGTTGGGCAGGCAAAGAGATGTTTAAGACAATGGCTTTTATGACAATGAGTTGTACTTTAATGATTGTAGCCTGTTAGAGAGGGATGGGATCCACCTGTCTAAAAGGGGCAAGAGAATCTTTGGCAGCAGGCTGGCCAATTTGGTGAGATGGGCTTCAAACTGAAGGATTGGGGGGGTGGAGTCTGAAGTAATTGTAATGCTCATGCCATTATGTTCCCCTGGGGCGTAGACCAATGCCAACCAGTGCAACTTTGGCTGCCTCTCAAGGTGAGAACCACAGGGCTAACCACATCAAGGGTGTTTACGGCTATGGTGAATCCCACTACACCCCTTATAGGGAACCTGGATGCTGAGTTACCTCTCTGAACTGCCTGTACACAAATGCATGCAGCATGGGGAATAAACAAGAACTAGAAATCTATGGGTGGTTATAGGGCCATGATCTCACTGCAATTAGAGAGACATGGTGGGATAGCTCACATGACAGGAATGTTGCCATGGATGGCTATGTACTTCGGGGAAAGGACAGGTCAGAGATGGTCAGAGCTCTTTATGTGAGAGAGCAACTAGAAGGTATTGAGCTCTGCACAGGGACAGACATTAGTTGAGAGCTTATGGGTAAGAATTAAGGGACAGGCTAATATGGGTGACACTATTGTGAGTGTTTACTACAGGCCATCTGATCAGAAGGAGGAAGCTGATGAAGCTTTCTATGGGCAGCTGGAAACAGCCTCATGATCACGGGCCCTGGTTCTCCCGGGGGACTTCAACTGGATATCTGTTGGAGAGACAACACGGCTCAGTACACACAGTCCAGGAAGCTCTTGCAGATTACTGAAGATAACCTTTGATGCAAGTGGTGGAAGAACCAACAAGGAAAGGTGCTATTGCACCTTGTAATAACAAATCAGGAGGGAAGATGTGATGGTTGGGGGCAGCCTTGGCTGCAGTTACCATGAGATGGTGGAATTCAGGATCATGTGTGGAGGAAGCAAAGCAGTAAGCAGGACTAGAACCCTAAACTTCCTGAGAGGTTGCTCTTCAAAGACCTGCTTAGAAGAATCCCACAGGATAGGGCTCTAGAAGAGAAGAGGTCCAAGAGAGGTGGCCAATATTCAGCATCACTTCCTCCAATCTCCAAATCAGTGTATCTCCATGAGCAGGAATCAGGCAAAGGGGACAGGAGACCTGCATGGATGAGCAGAGAGCATCTAGCAAATCAAAACAGAAGAAAGAAATTTATGGGATGTGGGAAAAGAGGCACATGGCAGGACGTGAGAGGAACTTTGTCAGATATGCAGGGATGCAATGAGGAAGGCCAAGGCCAAGGGCCACTTGGAATTGAGTTTGAAAAGGGATGCCAAGGACAATATAATGGGTTTCTACAAGTACATCAGCAGCAAAAGCAGATTAGCAAAAATGTGGGGCTCCTGCTCAGTGAGATGGGTAACCTGTTGACAGAAGACACAGAGAAGGTGGAATTACTGAATGCCTTCTTTGCATCAGTCTTTACTGCTGAGGCCAGCCTTCAGGAATCCCAGACCTTAGAGGTAAGAGAAGAAGGCTGGAGAAAGGAAGACTTCCCCTTGGTTGCAGAGGGTTGGGTAGAGATTGGCGAGGCAGATTTACCACCATAAATCCACGGGCCCTGATGGGATGCACCCATAGGTGCTGAGGGAGCTGGCAGATGTTGCTGCTAAAGCACTCTCCATCATCTTTGAAAAATCATGGAGAACATGAGAGGTGCCTGATGACCAGAGAAAAGCCAATGTTACTCCCAAGGAGTAACTTGCCCAAGGGCAAGGAGGACCCAGGAAACCATGGGCCAGTCAGTCTCACCTCAGTCCCTGGCAAGGTGATGGAACAGATCATCCTGTAATAACAGATCAAGCTTGTAAAAGAAAAGTCATTAGTAGTAGTCAGCACGGATTCACCAAGGGTAAATCCCACTTGACCAATCTGATAGCCTTCTATGATGGCATGGCAGGATGGGTTGACAAGGGGAGACCAGTGGATGTTGTCAACCTTGACTGCAGCAAGGCTTTTGACATCGTCGTAGGTAAGCTCAGGACATGTGTGTAAGATAAACGGACAGTAAGGTGGATGAAGTACTAGCAGAGCTCAGAGGGTTGTGTTCAGCAATGCAGAATATGGTTGAAGGTCTGTAGTCAGTGGCATTTCCCAGGGATCAATACTGGAGCCAGACTTATTCAACCTTACTGAACAGGTTGAATAACAGGATGAAGGTATCTGATGCATCCTTCAGCAAGTTTGCTGATGATACAAAGCTGGGGGGAATGGTTGATAAACCTGGAAGCTGCCATTCAGTGGGACCTTAATAGGCTGGAGAGCTGGGCAGAGAGAAACCTAATGAGGTTCAACAAGGCCAAGTGTGCAGTCCTGCACCTGAGGAGGAATCACCCCAAGTGCCAGTATGGGCTGGAGGCTGAACTACTAGAGAGTAGCTCTGCAGAGAAGGACCTGGGAGTCTTGGTGGACAACAAATTGACCATGAGCCAGCAGTGAGCTCTTGTGGCCAGGAGGGACAATGGTATCCTGGGGTGTATCTGGAAGAGTGTGGCCAGCAGGTTGAGGGAGGTGGTCCTGCCCCTCTACTCGGCGGTCCATACTTCAGGAGCATTGTGTTCAATTCTAGACTCCGCAGTTCAAGAAAGACAAGTAGCTACTGAAGAGGGTCCAGTGGAGGGCCACAAGAATGATCAGAGGTCTGGAGCATCTCTCTTATGAGGAGAGACTGAGGGAGCTCGGCCTGTTTAGTCTGGAGAAGACTAAGAGGGCACCTCATCAATACATATAACTATCTCAAAGGTGGATATTAAAAAGGTGGTGCCAGACTCTTTTCAGTGGTGCCCAATGACAGGACAAGGAGCAACGGCTGTAAACTAAAACAGAGTGGTGGGGGGAAAGAACTTCACACTGAGAGTGGCAGAGCACTAGAACAGGGTGCCCTGAGAGGTCATGGAGTCTCCCTCTCTGGAGACATTAAAAACCTGGAAATCCGCTTCTGAGGGCTTAGAGATCCACAAATGTTGGTCAGTCTTTAAGAACTACCTTTTAAAAGCACAGGAGCAGGCAATCACACTGTGCCAGAAGTCAAGCAAGAAGGGCAGAAGAGCAGCTTGGCTGAACAGAGGACACTGATAACTAGCTCCCCAAAGCACTAAAGATTTGCTGTCTGTCTTGAAATCTAGGGTACTAATTCTGATGATCTTTTTTCTCATTTACACCAAAAAATTTAAACTCAACCATTTCATGGTCACTGTGGCCAAAACTGACACCTACCATTGCATCTCCCATGAGTCCTTCCCTATTCACAAATAAGTCAGGGGGGCATCTTTCCTAGCTGGCTCACTGAATACTTCTGAGAAGAAATTATCTTCAGCATAATTCCGGAATTTCTCAGACTTGCTTGTCACAGTGGTCTGGTATTCCCAGTTATGTATGAGAAGCTGAAATTTTCCATA